AGGGCTAGCCTCCCACTAGTTCGAATTAAGTGGCTACACAGCCCTTAATTCGAACTACTTAATTCGAACTAGGCGTTAGTCCTCGTGGAATGAGGTTTACCTAGTTCGATCTAAGCGTTCCGCTAGTTCAAATTAAGTTCGAACTAGCGGTTTGCCTGTGTAGCGCCTATCAAAGTTAATTCGAACTAACAGCTGTTAGTTCGAATTAACTTTGTAGTGTAGACATACCCGTAGTGTCCAGCTGGAGCCAGCTCCAAACTCCTGCACTAATCATGAACCCGCTCCTCACCCGAAGTCCCAGCTCTAACCCTGGGCCCCCTGGACCCAAACTCCCTTACAGAGCCTGTACCCTGAACCCCTTCCTGCACCCTAAGCCTCTGCCTCAGGCTCAGCTTGGAGCCCCTCTCACACTCCAGATCCTTTAGCCCAAGACTAGAGCCTGCACCCCAACCCCCAGCCTGATGAAACTGAGTGAGGATAGGCGAGAGAGGGAGGATGGAGTGAGCCTGGTGGGGCAGGAGGACACAGTCAGCAGGGGCAGGATCTCAGAGAAGGGGCACAAAGGAGGCGGGGCCAAGGTATTTGGGTGTGAGGTAGATGCACTTAAATTCAAAAAGTGATCTTGTGCTTAAAAAGGCTGGAGACCACCACTCTATTCCAAGGTTGAGTCCTTCCTTCGGTGTGGATATTGCTGAAAAATCCATGCCTTTATTCCTGGTTCAGTCCATCTCTCTCTGCTTCATTTCAAATCTCTTACTTTCTTCCCATTGGCACTCCTGGCTCCCTGCCAACACTGTCAGGGTACCCACTCTTCTGGCTTTAGCCCTTTGCAGGCAATTTAGTTACTGAATACGGGGATGTCTAGAAAATGGTAGTAGTCCTCCAATCCATAACAGTTTATAATAAACTAAACGTGGTTAGATGGAGAAGTATGAAACAAGCCAAAATATGCACTGTTCACTTCAACAACAGCTCTAGCTTCCACCCCTCAGATGGTGTCCTTGGCCTCTGTTTGTCAGAGACTGGAGAGGGATGGCAGGAGACAAATCGCTTGATCATTGTCTTTGGTCCACTCTCTCTGGGGCACCTGGTGCTGGCCACTGTCAGCAGACAGGCTACTGGGATAGATTGACCTTTGGTCTGACCCAGTACGGCAGTTCTTATGTTCTTATGTTGACAGTTGCATTAAACCTGACACAGTAACAGCTCTGAATTTGTCTCCATCCTGTCCTCCAAGAGTTGTGGATCTGAATACCCTTCAGCCACGTCCACACTCACAGACTGGCATTTCTGGAAGACAGAGTTATTATTTTGAACACGTCTGGCTACAAGAGTCTCTGCAGAGATCATAAGCTTTCGGCCGGGTCTGGCACATGCAGATCTGCTCAGCAGAAATCTTGGAAGGATGCTGATGCAGATACAGCTCTGATCTGGGGCTCAGAGAGCTGGGTTCCATTCTTCCATTCACTAGACTCCCTGAAGGGTTCCATTCTTCCATTCACTAGACTCCCTGAACGACCTTGGACAAGTCACTCATGTCCCAGTGCCCACATCTGTAATACTGCTGTTGCCCTATGCTGAGCTGCAGGAGATGTCTGTGGCCTTACAGATTGGCTGCCCAGTGAAGGAAAATCAGTGATGAACAGACGGAGCACATGTTAAATGTAACCGACTTTATTTACACAGCATCAGCCCTAGAACAGAGATGGTCACACAACATGCAGGCAATCCCTTTCTGTCCCAGTGCCCACATCTGTAATACTGCTGTTGCCCTATGCTGAGCTGCAGGAGATGTCTGTGGCCTTACAGATTGGCTGCCCAGTGAAGGAAAATCAGTGATGAACAGACGGAGCACATGTTAAATGTAACCGACTTTATTTACACAGCATCAGCCCTAGAACAGAGATGGTCACACAACATGCAGGCAATCCCTTTCCATGAATAGCTCAGCCTAACACCAAGGCCCAGATCCCAGGGGAAGCAACACTACTGCCAGGCACTAGCCCAGAAAGAGGCCAAGGCAGAGAGCAAACTCTCACACAGCTGCCTCTCCCTCAGCCTCGTGTAATGAGAACACCATGCAGGATGTCTTGACAAGGCTTTTTTTTTTAAATATGTGCAAATGCAAATACATGTGGGTGGGCAACAGCACCTGGAATAGTGAGACCTGCCATATAAACACTCCCTTTTTGCCACCTCTAGCCTTCCTTGTATACCTCACCTGGAAGCTCCTGGGAGCAGCCACTGCTTTCCCCCAGGGGCACATACTGTGCCTCGCACAACTTGGCCTCAGACTTGCCTGGGGACTCTGTAATAAATAATGCTATAATGCTGTTGTAAAAAGAGGCCATCTCTGCATCTTTGCCATGCTTGTGGTTGGTGATCTGTCACCCTGGAGGGGTGAGCACACTAGACCAGATTTTTAAAGACTGGCCCCCGTTTTGAATCTGCAGTGGGAGCACACTGATGGGGGGCAGTTTTACCCCTCCAAGTCTGGCAGAACCAAATAATCTCATGGAAGGAAACTGTGATGAGCACTGTAGTTTGGATCCCAAGATGCCATTCCCAGCCCACACCGCAACAGCTGAGAGATACCTGGAGTCCAGGCACACCCCTGGGGGGTTCTATCACAAAGCTATACCAGCCTCCTCCCAGCTGTTCTTCCAGCATCTCTGTGCCCCAGCCCCCATCTCACTTCCAACCCCAACACAAAGCCTCTTTGCTTTGATTGTAATGGCACAGCTCAGAGGTCTCAGAGATGGTAGGAAAGCGAGGAACAATCTAATAAGATGAGCCTTTGACAAGAGTGCGGCGGAAAGAGAAGCAAAGGCAGGGAAAGTGATTTGCCTGAGGTCATCTGGCACATTAGTGGCTGGGCAGGGCATTGGCTCCTGGTCTCTTGAGCCGGAGTCCAAATTCTATGCCACTAGGACAAAATCAGTAGGAACAACACAGGACAAAATAAGCCCATGGTGTAGCAAACAAGCCAGGCACTGGAAATGTCAGAAGGCAGCCGGAAGGCTGTTTGGAATCTAGAATCCCTGTTCACAATTATTCCAACTATGCCATTGTGGAAGGGTTATTTGTAACTTTTATTCCATGCCCATTGTCTGAACATGCCTGGGACTCCTGTTTCAAAATGCCTGCACCTAGTCATGAAACAAGTGCCCAGAAAAGCTGCCTTTCAGTGCCATCTCCAACGCATGGCAGGCTGACACAACTTCCTGCTCAGGTTAGCAGCAATATTCATGCCCTGCCTGAGCAGGGCTCCCTCCCTCCCCCCACACACATACACCTGGGGTTGCAATCTTTGTTTCCTGTGGTGTTGATCATATATTCAACAAGTTCTTCCTTGAGCCATTTTAACTGCCAGCTTTGGTGCCTCTAATTTAAGGATGGAGGCTCCAACCCAGCAGTCCTCATTCAAGTCTCAATTCAACAGAGTCCTTAAGGGAGACATAAAATGAGACATAAGGACATGTTGAATTTTAAGCACATGTTTAAATGCTTTGCTGAATTGGGGCCTCACTCCTTTAACAGCCAAAGCGCCAGTTAAAAGGAATGCAGCATTTGTTCATGCGATGGCATAAGTTTATGATTTTGTAAGAAGCTATGGCCACGTCTCCATTTACCGGAGGATGACGCTCTAGCGACTGATCCTCCTGGGTTTGATTTAGCGGGTGCCAGTACTCCTAGTTGTCACAAGGAGTAAGGGATATCAACAGGAGAGTTTCTCCCGTCAACCTCTTGCTATGGAGCCGTCCTAGAAAATCTGTGCAAGGGACGTCACAGTTCACATAGCTGAAGTTGCTTATCTTACATCAATTTTTTCCATCAGTGTAGACCTGGCCTATGGAATCTTCAGGGAGACAGAGGCCAAAGGCAACTGTGGGTACATCTACTCTACAAAGAATTTGAACAGAATTCACCAGCAGCACAGTTCAATCAGCAGTAATGCCACTGTTTTGTCAGCAGGCCATCTAGCTGGTATTTTTCAGTGACAAAGCTGCAAGACTGGCTTTTTATTACCCCAAAGACAGAAGCCACGCTGGTAAAACACCTTCACCCTTGCGACAATGTCCCTTTATTGGACTGGTGACTAGATTCAGAGAGCTGAAATCTCTTCTGTCTTTCATGTTGTTGCTTTAACAGATGTCACTGCCTACAGCTCTGAAGCGACACACGTTTCCACAGGATACAGGTGGTAACCGCTAGCATCTGCGGTGATACAGAGCCCAGCAATAATCCATGTGTCAAGTGGTTTACCTGTTAGAAGTCCCAAGGAATGATCAGTTTAGTGCACAAACACTGCAGCAAAGCTAAGTGATGTAGGGGACTGCAATCTAGCCCCCTCCAATCGTGGTGCAAAGCAGTTCCCAGGAATTCATCTGCAGAGATTTTGCCTCAACCTAGGGACCAGTGAGCATTTAACCTCAACAGGGCTGGATGGCTCAGGACATAGAATCATAGAATCATAGAATAATAGGACTGGAAGGGACCTCGAGAGGTCATCGAGTCCAGCCCCCCCCCCCCTCAAGGCAGGACCAAGCTCTGTCTACACCATCCCTGCCACAGACCTTCCACCTCCAGGGCACAGTGGGTATGAATTCAGCCTAAGTCAATCATACCCCTTCGAAGGCTGATTGGTGGCCAACGTTGAGAATCTTGGTTCAATTCCTAGTAGAGACCTGAAGAATCACACAACCCATCACAACAAATGTCTGTCTAGTGGAGAGCTTTTGCAAAGACCCAGGGAGAGATAACCCTGGAGTTCCTCCGGGTCAGGATTGAGGCCCACTGGTGGTGCAGTGCCGGGAAATGAATATTTATTATTCTTGGTATTACGGGCCTGAAAGATGCCATGGTGAACAAAAGACAGCTCTTACCCAAGAAGTTGACAACCCAAGATAAGACACAACAAATGACACAGACTGGCAGGGGAGTACCAGGAAACCATTTGCCGATACAAGTGACAGGCAGCGGTCACAGCGCACCACCATGCTGTAGCTGTGCCGCAAGTCATTACATGACTTCAGTCTCCTTGGGGCTGCCAATCCAACACCTTTCACAAGCATCAGATTTGCTTTTACATTGCAGGGATAAAGGCAACAGAGTTGTTAATCTGGTTCCTTTAGAAAATAGAACCACAACACCCTGTTTTATCTGCTGTCTTTATCACATTTACAATATCACGATGTAGGTGCTTTTAACAACTGGCTCATAGCCTTTCCAGCAATGAACGGTCTGATTATTCCAAGGGCAGGTGCCAAGCAGGCCTCTAAAGCACCCTGCAAGCTGCAGCCAAAGTCTGCTGCTTATCAGCTTGAGAGTTTACTAGCTGACCATTAAATAAATAACCAAATGAATTGTGCTCTGCTCGGTTAGACCGCTGCCAGCCCCTGAACGCACAAACCATCCCTATCCCAAGACTGCACAGGCTCTGTTCATGTCCACAAGGTCACTAATGAACTCTTCCCAGAGAACTTTGGCATAGTGTAGTCACTGGGGGTTGGGGCCGGCCCACAACATTTTGGCACCTGAGGCGGGAAGCTCAAATGATGCCCTCATGCCACCTTTTCTCCTGCCTGCCTGTTATGTCTCTTGTGCCCTCCTTCCTGCAGCACGGCACTCCACCATCTCTGTGCATCTAGAGCAGAGAGAATGCGTATGCACCAGCAGCAGACGCAATTTTCTACACTCTAGAACCTAGTGGTACCCCCCTCACCCCCCGCACACACACACAGCCTGGCACCTGACGTAGCTGTCTCAATTCGCCTCATGGTAAGGCCATCCCTGCTAGGGGTGCATCTAGACAGCGGTGTTATTTCGGGATATTTCCGGTATCCTGAAATAGCATTTTCTACATCTTGACAGTGCTCCCATTATTTCAAAATAGCTTTTGAAATAACGGGCGTGCTATTCCGATTTCCCTATAAACCTCGTTCCATGAGGATTAAGGAACATTTCAGAATAGCGCTCTATTTCAAAATCAGCTATTTCAAAATTAACTCGATATACTCTACACAATTTGCGTAGCTCAGACTGCGCAGCTTATTTCAAGCTAAGGGTGCAGTGTAGACGCACCTTGGGTTACCTGCAAAAACCACTTTACTGGACAACCTGACACTAGGGAATTATTGCTACCATGCACACTCTAGAGACTAGGAACTGATCACCATGCAAAATGCTGCCCCCAGGCATGCTAGGGTAAATCCACAGTAGAGATGTAAAATCACATTCAATTGGTTAACCATTTAAAAATTATGTTTAACCGGTTAACCGACTAATTGGGGCACGGGCAGGGGGCCACTCCAGTCTCCCATCCTTTGCCTGCCAGGGCCAGGCTAGAACACCACTCCCCTCTCCCTGCCTTAAGCAGAGGCTGCCCCAGCCCAGTCAGAGTAGCCCCTGTCTACAGGGTGCCCAGACTCCAGATGACCGGAGCAGTCCTTGTTCACGGCAGTTCCACGGCTGGAGCATCCTCCCTCTCACAGCCAGTGATGTAGGGAATTGTAATCTTGCGCACGGGGAAGAGAGCAGCACAGATAGAAGAGCAGTGCATGTTAAGTAGCTTTTAATTAGCTAATCAAGTAGCTGATGGATTTCTATCGACTACTCGATTAGTCGATAAGGGGAGGCGGGTGCTCACTTCCCCCACTGCGGTTCTGCAGTTTAAACATAGTAGGGTTAGCTCCCGAGGGTGGTGTAAGCCGGGACTGAGCAGTCTCGTCTTGTACCAGCTCCGAGACCGCTGTGCCTCTGCGTTTTAAATGCAATAAGTCTGCCCGGCTCTTACCACATTTAAAAGGCAGAGCCATAGCAGGGGAACCGGCGTGAGCCAGTTCTGAACGCTGGCCCTGTGCTCCCTGCAACACTTTTGCCTTTGAAGTGTAGCAACAACCCTGGAGTGGCGCACTTATCGATTAGCCGATTAATCTAAATTTAACATCCCTAATCCCAGCTAGCCTAGGTTTATCAGGTAGTCAACTACTCGACTAGTTGCTTACATCCCTAGTAGTGCAAAGCAGCTCCTAGTTGACAGTTAACCAGAACCGGTAAGCATGACTCATTAAGGTGATTTGGACTGGTATAGGTGAGAGCTGTAATCCACAAAACCAGATTCTCAGCTGGAAAAAATCAGCATAGCCCCACTGAAACCAAGCCAAGACTCTGGTCCTTTTTGCATAATGTTCACATATTGCCTCTCCCGAGCTAAGAAGTTGTTGGCTGCTACTGCCTTAGCCTGGTCTGAAGTGTGCACCGGGTGGATAGTTCCCAGGCTCACACACAGGCAAAAGCAGATCTGTCATTTAATAAATAAACAAACATGGATAGGTGCAAATCCTACTGA